AATTCTCCAACCTTTCAACGCAGGAATGCAACGCTGTTGTGCAGCGTCGTCTTTTATAAGAGAATAGTGTATTAAATAAATCGTCTTTAGGCCTTTTATAGTTGAATCTCTTAGTGTTGATGTTACTCTGGTCACTCAACAAAGAATACGCGATAAAATGTATCCTTCGGTGAAAAGGAAATCATTATAGTCTTAACATACCAACACAACAATTTAGAGCTTCCCATAATATGGCAGTGAATTTGCAGGGTACAAAGGAATAACACCTGAGTCCTCAAAAAGGGCAAGACATGGGGGAGTATAATAGGCAAAACAGTATACTTTGTTATATCCATGGTACTGTTCATGTCTACAGACGACGATTATCACTTTCCATCAGGGGAATCGAATGTTTTCTAGGCGAGGTCGGGTATAAATCTCATTTTAAGTCGGCATACCGTCCAAACTTCTATCATTGTAAATAACTGAAACGCATGCCCATTGTATTAAGGGATGCTGAATAAATTAAAATTTAGAAGAGGGAGATATTGTACAAAAGTCTTACACTTGGGCACCTTTGTCCCATTCGTGTTTCTACCGTGAAGCAGTTGTGTTTGCATGGCTGTGTTTCGGTTTGAAGGGTGGGATATAGTGAATTTTCAGGGTACAGAGAAATAACACCTGAGTTCTCAGAAATGGCAACGCATGGGGGGTGTCATGGGCGAAACAGTATACTCTGTTATGTCCATGGTACTGCTCATGTCTACAGGCGACGATTATCACTTTCCATCAGGCGAGGCGTCAGCCTGTTTGCCATTCTAAGTTGTATAGATAAAAAAGAGATTTGTCGTATTCATACGGGAGGCTCACATTTGTGTCGTATTTCGACAAATGTTTCTTTGGTAAAAAAAATTATCTAGTAAAATATTTGCTTATTTATTTTCATATTTTAAAATTACTAAATCGTTCTGGCGAAGACCTTTAAATACTGCCAGAATCTATCAACTAAAAGCCCACGCTGTTTCGCCTCTTCACCTTAGTACCGGGCCCAATAGTTCGCTTTCACATTCTACCGCAACTCTTTGGTCAAAAGCCCACCAAGAGTATTAATTTGAATTTCGTCCTGAAATGAAATTATTTTTTTGCATTAATTTATTATTTATTTATTTATCTTAAAATATAATATCCTATATTTTTTTATCTTTTTATTTACAAGCTTTTATCTTATAAAGATATGTCAACCCCATCATACCCTAACCTTAATTAGTTATTTCACATACTTTAGTAATGTATTTTAATAGAGGTAATCATTACTACAAACATATAGCAATTAAAGATTTTGTCATTTTGGAATAAGTATCTACGAGTATATTTAAAAACAATCCAATATCTTGTCTATTTAGGCTATAAATCTGTATCAAAGCTTCTTTTTTTATTTTATATTTTCTACTTTCGGATGTCGTATGTTGAACATCATCCAATGTGTTACAAACATCACAATTTGGGTTATTAACTTTATATCTAAATCCTATATACATTTCTGTGAAAAACACCTTTAAAGAGGATGTTAAAAACCATGCTGATGGTTCAGATTTCATCCTGTATATAATTATATGAAGTTAAAGAAGTCTCTAAAGTATATATGCTCATCAGTTGCGCCGTCAACTCGAATGCCAGATCTTTGCGTAGGATAGAAAAAGTGTTTCTAAAACAAGATCTATTATCGATCCCGGATCATCGTCAGTGCCGATCAATATTGAGATAAAAGAGATACCGGGTAGCAATTTTAGAGTTTGAAAAAACAAACTTGAGCAGTTGTTAACTAAGTCTGACATCAAGAGACGTTCAGGCAGAATAACTCCTGGCGTTGAGCCAACGACTCAGCAGCTAACCAAAACCAAATACTGGGAGGTGGTAATGGCGGTTAGATAAAAAACAGATACTATTTGAACACGTAGATATCACCAAAATATTTTTCAATAGCTACCTAGGGATGAGGATTTATAATACCTAACGGGGAATTTAGATATCCTCTAAAGTAACCTCCATGCGGGCCTCTTGAAAACTGTCGTAGTTAATTCCTGATTAATTTGTCCTATGGGCCACCCGTCATTCTCACCCGTTAACCCTTCTGGTACGCTTTTCTCGCTCATGTTTCTGCCTCCAAGCATGACAGTGTTTCAGTTGAAATATAGCTATAAAATTACAGCTATGAAGGTATAAATTCTTAGTTCTCGGAAGTAGTACTGCATTAATTAATACGTATCAGTATTAATGTAAATAAAATATAAAGCAACGTGAAACGCAATCTTTAATATTTATTTATTTATTTACACTTTAGTTCACCAAGTAAAAAGAGAAATAACAAATACAGTAAATATTAATGAGAAGTGATACAAAAGGCGGCCTTATCGCTAAGCAATCTCTTCCAGGCAGCCTTTAATATTATTATAAATAATATTCTATTATATTTAATATAATAGAATATTATTTATACACGTTACCGATTTCAATATATTATCATCAGGCTATGAATGAAAACTTCCAATATAATTTATTAGGTGTATTTATAAAAATTTGCAAGCGTGTATTTCGACGAATCCTAATGCAATCGGCTCTATTCATCTAGATCTACGAGTATTTAAAAATTGTTCTGTCATTAGAGTGGTAGAAAGTCCATTTTTAAATCATTATTTAAAAAAAAACGCATAAAGGTTTATTTTTGAAAATGTATACGAGTATGTTGACAGACTCCAATATGTTTTTAACGATCGAAATGAAAGTGATGTAAAAATAGCATTAGCTATTCTATGTTCAAGGATTTAAAACCTAAAACGAGTTTATTGTTTCATAAATGCAATACATTCTTATTCTACGAGTATCAATATTGTTTAGATCTCTCAATAAAAATATGTTTAATGTTTTGTTGTTTTTTATTTGAGATAACAGAAAATTGTTATCGAAAGTTTTGCATTATACCTCACTTAAATCCCTTAATAATAATACTACTCCTGTGAGAGTGGGTCCTGCCTATGTTTTCGCTGTGTAATAGCTGCGCCTACATACGCACAGAAGACGGAGGAGAGTTTTTTTTTTTATACAACTTAGAATGGCAAACAATCTGACGGCCCACCTGATGGAAAGTGGTAACCGTCGCCTATAGACATGAGCGGTACCATGGACATAATAGAGTATATTGTTTCGCCCATGATACCCCCATGCGTTGCCACTCCTGAGGACTCAGGTGTTATTCCTCTGTACCCAGTAAATTCACGCCATATCCCACCCTTCAAACCGAAACACAACCATGCAAACAACTGCTTCACGGTTGAAATACGAATGGGGCAGAGGTACCCAAGCAATCGACTTTTGTACAACGTCTCCCTCTAGTAAAATAAGAGTAAGGAGGCATAACACCAGAATCGGAGCCCACCAAAAACGCCATAAGCCTCAAGAATGACGAGTATTTTGTCACGTAAATGATGCTTATAATGTCAATAAGCGACGGTTACCGCTTTCCATCAGGTGAGCCGTCAGATTATTTGCCATTTTGAGTTATATAAAAAAATACTGTCATTTTTAAATAGTTTAAACATGAAATAGAAAATTCTGAGGTTTATATTCGATTTTGGAACTTCAGGGCTGCAGTCTAAAATTATCCCGTTCTTTAGTTATTAATCATTACTAAATATATTTGAGTAAATCATCGCTAATATTATATTTTTACGCCCTATCCCATGGTGTTTGGTAGACAGCTGACACTTTGGCAGTTGTTACTGTAATGTAACTGTATTCTGTGATTTTTTGTTGAGCGCGAAGTCAATATATTAATTTAATTGACACCTATTTGCTCATGATATTTTTAAATATATTTAGAACTAACATTTGCCCGTTATTTTTTACGCATAGATTTCAAAAGTATGAAAGCTAATGAAATAAACTTAATTCTAGATGGCGTGTCAAGATAAACCATACACTAGATTTTATGTTAGACCTTTAGAAATATAAAACAACTGTGAAAATTTGAAGCAAATTGGTGCAGTTTTTATGTGATGCCGGAATAAACATACAGAGAGACAGACAAAATTTCTAAAAAATATTGTTATAACCTCTATAAAGACTACTAAAATAATGTTTCCTTAAATATTTTCCATACACCCCATACTGTACAGCCTAAATGGTTGCGTACAACGCGGTTTCAGAGATGTTTTCTCCCACGAAAACTTCAAAAGGGTAGTAAAGAGGTTTCTTTAGGGTCGTCGTTCATAGGCTACTGGAACCGCTTACCATCAGGTAGGCCATATGATTATTTGCCACCTCAGTGATATAAAAAAATATACAGACATTGTTTATTTTTCTATAGCACAGGGAACAAACGAGCATGCGGCTCACCTGATGGTAAGTGACTACCACCGCCCATGATCACGCGCAACACCCGAGACATTGCAGGTGTGCCGACCTTTTAAAAAAGAAAAGAGCATCTTTTCTTGAAGGTTTAGAAGAAAAATGTTTAATTACACATTTATTATATTAGTAAAATAAGATGGCAAACAAGCTGACAAATTATAAAAATATATTGTTGAATCCGTTAGTTACGTTTTGGTAATTCATCAAGTCCCTTTTATATTAGTAGATGACTGCCGCAAGTATTTTCAAATTACTTTGGATAAAATCCAACTATAACAGTCTTTAAAATCAGCTGATACCCGTTGCTATGCTAGGGATTACTCTATTATTCGTATTGCCAATGCCGATGCCATTTGGCACCATAAAATATACCTTTCCACGCGGTAAACAAGATATTTTTAACGTTGGATCTCGTACCTCGAAAACAAGATTTTCATGTCTGTATAAAAATGTTAACGGTATGTTTCCATTTATTTTTCTGTTTGTACGTACATTTCTTTTTATTTTCTTACATCGAGAAATTATTGCCGTAACATTAGCTTTTTTTCTGTTTGAATACACTTCAAGTAAATACATTTGTGTTCTGTTTTTATAAAGCTTTTTCTATTTTTCAGTGAAAAATGCACCAAAGGTGAAAATGAAGAAGGAACACAAACACGTCAGACTGCGGAAAAATGTTCAACAACAGTAGTTGCGTGTTTGTCATCAAATGATAAATCAGTAGAGGAGGACACACATGGCATTGCTAAAGAAAAAGTCTCTACGCCAAATGAAAAAATCGATAATACTAGTCTCCCAATACCAGTTACATTTTTGACATCAAATGAAAAATCAATGGAAGAGGACAAATATGATATTCCTGCAAAAACAAACCTTGTACAAAATGAAGCAGTCATTGATAATCTTTACGATGATGTAGAAACTGCCAACCCTGAGCCTGATGGCGACGCTGGTGATGAAGCAGCCATGATAGATGATAGTGATGTGACTAATGAAAATGAAAATTATGATATCGTTTAATTTCGAAAATTGTAACTTTCTCCCATTTTTGTAACTATTTATTTTATTATTTTTTAGAAAGGAATGATATTTTTTCTTGTTTACTATTTTTATCTATATACTAAATTAAATATATATTATACCTAAATTATAATTAAATAAATTATCATTTTTCATTAACGTAGAATAAAAAATATGAAAAATAAAATTCAGTACAACTTACTAAGTAGATTAGCTTTGCAATGATTGCATAAACCATAATATTGTTTCCAAAATAAATTCATTATAGGTACATAGTCTGAATGAGAAACAATTAAATCAATGAATAAACATAATAGTTTCCTCAACAACAACTAAGAGGAAACACCATGTCATACCATTTCTATGCACGGTAATTACCACAACAGATCCATCACAAACGAATATATACCATACAAAGATCACAATACAAGTCTTATTTGAATAACATTCTACTAGTACATTATTAGCGTATCTAATGACGTGAATTATATACGCGAACGATGTTAAAATGAACCTAATATTCAAAGAGATAATACCCAAAATGGCTGTAAGAACTTGAAAATAAAACGAGACACGTCTAGAGAATTGAGTTTCGTAACGCTCAGTTAACATGTTTGTTCACATGTTTGCGTAGATTCTCAGGTGATAATTCAGTTACATCTGTTATGCAGTAGGATAACCTTGGCGGTCTCTTTATACATCTGTTAATATCATATACATCAAGATGGAACATCGAATGTCAAAAAACGGACAACAAAACGATTTTGACGGTTAAAAGATATGTCTCTTCACTTTTAATCGACGTATACTTTTTTTAAACATAACACAGGACGTAACTTTTCAATGTTACAAATAATTCGATATAAATCCTCAGATCGGATAAATATTCAGTGGATTTCAAAAAGAACGAGATTCTCAGTTCTATTATATTTTTTGTTTTTAGTTTATTACCTTATAATTTCGTCAATTATAAAAATTAAATAAATAAACATTAAATAAAAAAATAGACTTAAATTGTTTTAATTCTGAGAACCATTTTTAATGACGACATGATGATCGTCAGATGCTTTTAATGATTATGGCAATGGATACATGTTTCTAGTCCATTTTTAGATATCGATCGAAGTTATCGGTGAAGACAATAATAACTCACTGTAAAAGTTTTGTAATGGTTTAATTTTTAACTTGACTTTACAATATATATTTCTACTTTATACTGAGTAATAATAATAAGTACACATTTTGGTATTTGTAAACACATAGAAAAGAATAAAAAATTTGACCTGTTTTTAACAAGCATTTTTATTGAGATACTCCATCTAGAAGTATATATATCTATAGTTTGTTAGTACTCAAGTTCAAAGTCGCACGTCTGCGTTTATTTTATCACCTAACTCATAATTTCACACTTTTTTAATTGCATCAGAGGCAAAAACATTCAATGATGAATCTGTAAAAGAATCTTTAAAATCTAGAAAGTCCACTCGGTTTCGAAAGCGCTTTCAAGTGCTAGGAGTAAATAAACTCATTTTTACAATATGTTAATGATAGTCATGATTAATTTTTTTTAATAACAACTTACTATATACATATTACAAGTTTCAATAGATTGTAAAAACAATCTATTAAAACTTAATTAAATTAGAAAAAAAAACACAAACATTGCAATTTTAATCATGTATACTGATATAAACAAACACACACACATACACACACACCAATGAAATAGATGTTTCGTACACAAATTGTATAAAAAAATAATTGAATTTAGCAATGTTTACATACTTGTAATGATTTTGTTTTTCAAGAAACAGTTTTTTTTACTCTACAAAGAAAAATTATCTCCCTACTATGAAACGAAAAGCGAAGTAAACTCGATTGATTGTAAAAAGAATAGTCAAAATATATTGCTTACGACACACCGTATGGTCTCGCCATAGAATGGGCCACCCCTTTCTTTCGTGGATAAGAGGCGAGTAAGGGAACATAATGGTCAAGGAATGGGCAGTAACGTCCCTCTTAAAACATCACCAAAAGCCTAGCTGCGGTTGCCAAATCACCAACTAACAGTGGCAACTACTGGCAACCTATGAAAACAGGCCAGTTAGTCCATCATGATGAATTCATCAGGAATTAACCATGATAGTTTCCAGGGGGAACTGCGAAGAGGTCAATCTGGCTGGGTATATTGCTAGCAAAGGGATTCTCAGTCTCCATTACTAACAATCCCTTTCCTCCCTAAGTAAATGGGTTTATTAGTGCCCATTACAAATAATCCCTTCCTCTTAATACTCTAGCATTAGTTGTGATAATATTAAACAAATATTACACCAGGGGATGGCTGCCCAATGCCGAAATGCAACAAAACGCAGCGAACTCGAGCCAACCAGCTGCCGAGCCGCCGAAACCACCGCCGTTACCGAAGAGCATTAACGAGCCGTGAAGTATTAATTTTCTTTTGTCTCTCATCGATTGACTACTTGTAAAAGAGAAAGCTAGTGAAGACATATGGTTTTATTGTATACCACTTTGAGAAGCATAGTTAAACACTGCTTTCAAAAATCATTTTAAGAGGTTTGTTCGAGAACAATAATAAACATGTGAAACTATATGAATGTAATAAAAATTAACAGGTCACCGCGTATTTCAAATTCATATTAATTTTCAATTCATAGTAAAACAGAAAGTATACTATAACATTGCCATAACAACTCATTAAAGTCTCACTGATGGATGTAGAATTATAAGTAGATATATGGTTTTTTTTAATGGGTGATAATGGAATGGTAAGCCCGCCTGCGCTATCGATATACGCTGGCGGAACACCAGTGGGGGATGATAGGTGACAATGAAAGCAGGTCAGTTAGCCCATCGTGACGAATTCCGCTAGATTTAACCACGATGGTTTCCGGGGGGAACCGCGTGCCGGTCGACCTGACAGGGTGTATTGCTAGCAATAGGTCAGTTAGACTCCATTACCAACAATCCCTTTCCCCCCAGTAGATATATGTATAAATAGATAGATAGATACTCTTTATTGTTTCCTCCATAAGATTACAAGAAAATATTAGCCTTAGGCTATAGTCACGCAGGCCAGAAAAATATTATCATCATCATGATGTCAGGTTTTAATTGTCCACTGCTGAACATCCTCACTTCGTCTTGCCTTTCTCCCTGCCTCAGGCCTCCCTCATAAAAGGTTGGGAGGGGGGAAGGGGTGTTTCACCAGTAGTTTCCACGCTTGGCAGACAGGTTGGCAACCGCAATTAGGTTTTTTGTGATGTTTTAAGAGGGACGCTGCTGGACATCCCTCAACTACTAAATTCCTTTGGTTGTCTCTTAGGAAGGAATAGTCCATTATTTGTCGAGACTACACGGTGAATCGGCTATTGGAGTTTAATTTAAAAGTAACCCCACACTCTTTGACCCCACTTGTAATGAACAATAAAGGAATTTAAAAAATAATAATAAGGTAACTTCCTTTTTGGAAAGTCTTTAAAAATGGAAAGGAAGGGGTGACTTATTCTATGCCAGGACGAAAAACGGAAAAATATATTTATAGTTAATTTATCTATTCAAGTAAATTCTCCCGGGAAAGAGTTCTAACGGGCGTGGCCGCGTTGATCAGCTCCTCTTATATAATTTGAGTTACCTAACGAGTTTCGTATAAACAAATAGAATCCAACGATCTCCGAACAATGACGCACAAGCACTGGAGCACGACCAAGAGGCGCGGCTGCGTGGAACATTGTTGATGATTTATCTGTATTCTCATCCCAGAATACACATATAACCATTGTGTAACAAAATGTAAATCAAGGCAGTATGTGAATAAAAATCGATTCACCTATTGACTCGATTTACAGCATCGATCGTATCGGCAGACAAGTTTTTGTTCTTTCACACTTTTTAAAAATGGAATGACAGATGCCTAATACAATTTTTTGTCATTAGATATTTCATTTTTATTTTATCCGTAATAGGTTTTTTCTTAAGATTTCTCTGAAATGGTGCTCTTGTAAATCGTGTTTTTGGAGTTCTGTGATAAAAATAAATTAAGAAAAACATTATAAAGTTAAATGGGTAACTACCGCTTATTTTTGTTGGTAATCTTCAATCATTCTTTCTCTCTTTCCTTTTCTTTCTCCAAGCTTCCTTTATTTGCAAAGTTAAGGGTAAAACCATATCAACAAAATATTTATAGTTGAAACCGCTGTGAAAATGTATAAGATGTATAAAATTATGAGTGAATAAACAAGAGATTTATATGTACCTAAGAATAGATAACCTACCGTAAGATTAAGTTGAATTTTTACATTTAATTCTGCCTACTCTGTAAAAACTTGGCGTGAGGATAAATAAATAAATATACTTACAATAAATATACTTAATAATAAGCTTACAAATTTTTCATCAAGGTCATAATATTGGAACACATTTTATACATATAGAACCCACAATATGATCGTAATTTTATACATATATATATTTCTTGGGAAAATTGGCGTGACAAGAATCGCAGCTAACAATCAATCTAACTATAAATGCATTCACGAAGCATTATTTAATAACATTTCCAGCAAATAAATCCAAATAAGTAAAATTTTCGGGTCAAATGACTCATTGTCAGTTTAGTAATAGCATTCAATGCCATTTTTTTTGTGAAATAAGTGGGTAATTCGATCTGCTTACCGTGGCCGATTTGATGTTTAGTTGACAACACGTCGAACATTCCGTATAATATCTAGCTAAAGAGTCACCCAAAAGCGATAATTTTTTTAAGAATACACCTTAGGAATATTACCTATATATTTAGATTACCAAAGTATAGAAACGTATTTATCTAGGCATTTTCAAAAACAATAAAACTATTGAAAAATTTTCAATCTTAGAATATATTTTCAATATTTCTGATAGATTACTTAAAAAGTACTCTTATATCGAACTAACATATTAATCATGCAATAAGATTTTTATTACTAAAATTTTAAATTTTGGTGGATGTGTGGATGTAACTTCAGAATTATTTAGTGTATGAAATAATTACTATTTTGATAGATTTTTGTGCAACTGTCTTAGTTGCATTAGAATACAAAAAGTATCCTACATGTTAATGTAATAGACAAGGGTCATCAATTCATCAAAAACCCCGTTCAGACGTAATAAACATCCTAACATTAAACACCCAGGAAATTTTTTGACAAACTCCCATTTATAATAATATCTAGTAGGAAGTAAGATCATAAAAATAATAAACTCTAAATGGGTAATGCATCTTTATGGTACTTTTTTGCCATGATGATAGTGTTTTCATGAGTCAACGCAAAGCCATGTATGTATTGTCAAACAAAATAAAGTTGCTTAGGCTGTATAACTCATGCTCTTTACCTCTCCGATTTGCACGCATTTACAACAATAATATTAATATCTATGCCACTAAA